TGGAACAAAACTCTTACTCAAATCGAGGACCCTCAGTATAAGCAAAAAATAACCAGTTTCTATAAAACTAGAACTAGACTAGGGTTCACTTGGGTTCACTAGGTTGTACTATAGTTCAGATTACTAGGGCTATTAGGTTAGGCAAGAGGAGAACACAGGTGTAGGATGCATTAAAGCATACTTAAGAGTCCAAAGATCAATAGGATAAGTAGACTAAGAGCTTCACTAGGTTATACTAAATTATTAAATCCTTATCCTAACAATAACCTTACATTCAAATAATGCTTCTTGAATTCCAATTAATTTCTTCAAAATTAATATCTAACTCGTTATATCTCCTTACGTTAAATCTACTTCACATGAATATGCATAAATAATAACATTAATATTAACATTTTCAAATCCTTTTTCACTTAAACACATTTTAAAATCAGAATAAAAATTTTCAATATTTTCTCTCTCTTCATTTATACAGCAATTATGAGGAATGAGAAAAATTAAAAGTTGGAATGAGTTTCATAATAATAAGCAGAAAGTCGTGAATGAGTTTTGTAAGTAAAAGTTTCATGCTGTGTATGGAAAGATCTTAAACAAAATAACATGGCAAGAAAAATGTATTTTTGATTTTAAATCAAAATTAAATCTAGAACAAGAACCTCACACCCCACTAAAAACAAGAATATCGAGCAGCAGGAATGAAAATGGATAGGGTGAAGGAACTGTCGAAGAAATTAAAACATTCGTAATAAGAAAAGGCAAGAAGAAAAAAAAAATCGGGGAAAGGAACGCAAGGAATTGTGGGCGGGAGTGGAAAGAGACTTTTAATGGGGTTAATTTTAAATGAAAGACGAAATGAAAGAATGATTATGTTCTTTTTATGCTCCTTCCCATCCTTTTCTTGTTTGTTGTTGTAACATTTTACAATTTCTGCTGTTATTATGTTGTTGATGGTTTGCTGCTGTGTGTAAAATCACAATAATCACGGCATAAAATAAGCAAATTTATACATTTAAATACAACAGTGGAACAGAATAGGAGAATGAGTGAGCAACAATATTCTTATTCTGTGCTATTCTCAGCAGTCCAGTGTTGTTATCTTAGAATCCATGATGAAGTCTAGTGTCACATTGATAATATTAGGTACTTCTGGTTGCTATTAGAACATTAGTGTGACGCGTAGTCGAACATGCTTTGAGAAAAACTAGTGTCGATCTTATCCAACTCGTCTAGACACTCAGAATTCAATTATTATTCATTGCAATAAATTTCTAGACTTACACGAATTAGATGCTGATCCTAGTTAGACTACAGATGCAACCTTGTTGCCAGGGTATTGAAAAATGGTCTCCATACCTGAAGTGTCATGAAACCAGCACAAAACCAGTATATTAATAATTTACAATATCAAATTCAAACCTTTAAACCCAAAAAATTCATTCCAAACCTTGTTCCTTCCTCCTCTTCACGCTTTCTTGTTGACTGAGGGAAATGGAAACGTTTTTGATTTTCCTGTTTCATGGTTTTTAAGTGGAAAATTCGCTGTGTGAATGTTAAGTAAGTGATTTTTCGCAACAATAATTTCTTTTTGCAAAAATTTCGACCCTCTTTTTTTTTTAAATGCCAATTTTACCTTTCAATTCTTATCCACTTGCAGCACATTTCTTGTGCTTTATGTCAATAAGTCATTTCATTCAATTTAACAATGAATCAATAAAGAAACAATTTATGCAATTGCATACATGCATTGCATGTCTTGCATTGAATTATAATTGTTTCAAATAATACAAAAGAATGAAAGGAGTTAAAAGTGCGTAGGAAAATGCATAAATGCGAGCACACATGACACGGAAATGAGTGAAATGTGTGCACAGTTTTTATTTTGTTGTTAGCAAATCATTTATTGCAAGGTTAGTACTTTTTCTGGCTGGATGAACTTTATAATAGCTTGAGAATATTCTTTTAAAAAGCGCTTTAGTTCCTATAAACTCGTTAAATGTAAGTTTTTCTGTCAATTCTTTTCATTACATAAAACAATGTTAATCGAAGAAAAAAAGTTTAATACTCAATGGTTTGATTTCCTTTAAAATGCAAACAATGTATCTGTAAAATAAGGAATGGAAATAATAATAATTTAATGCAATTAAAAATTGTTGTGTGGGTTGAAGTTGAAGTTTCTTTGATTTTGAGGTAGATCAATCTGAGTTTTTTGGTGGTTTTGGTGAGTTCTGAAGTTGATAGAGGATTTCTGGAATACATTCTAAATAACTTGAGCGACATTAAAGCTCAATTATATTTTGAAGTACTTAATGCTGATATTATTACGGTTCTCCGTGCAATTCGTTTGAGATGGGCTGGACATGTCTTTAGACGTCCACAAGGGCCAGTACCTGGAGTGATCTAGAGGAAAACCAAAGAACACCTCTGGATTGGATGTGATGATAAGAACGCTAGAGTCGTTTATATCCCGAAATGGCAGAAGGTCTACAAAGATAGAGCTGTCTTTAGACGATCTCTGAACGCGGTAATGGGCCCACGTGCGCTTTAGCCAAGGAAGTAAGTAAGTAAGTACTCGAATCGCTTCTCTGACAGCAAAAAATGAGATTCATCACAATGTTCAACTCAAAATAATTCAATTTAATTCCAAGAAACCAAGAACAAACATTGTCTGATGTCTGTACCATAATTGCTGTTGAAATGGCTAATTAAGCATAAATTCTGATGTTTAAATAAAACAAGAAAATTGAAAATTATCTTCCAACAAATCAATTAGCTCTGGTGACTCTGAAAACGACAAAAACTCCTGAAAGATAATTGATAAATCATTAAAAAAGATATTTTAAGTAATTCTTTCTACATTTTATTCATCATATTTTCTTTTTTGTTGTGCTCAGTAAAGATGAAAAGTTTCTCTTCATGTTTAAATAGCTTTAATAATTTTTTTTAATAAAAGAGTTAATTTACTATAATTATTTACATTATTAGTACTTCTTTTCATCATTTAAATTGGTTACAAAGAACTTAAAATAAAATTTTCGGAGAAGAAAAGCCAAAAAGTTTACATTTAACATTTGAGTCTCTTACTTTAACTCATTTTCTTACTGCTTTTAACTTTTATTTCATTACGACATTTATTGCATAAGAGATTTTTTTTCATTCATTAAATAATTTTTTGTTTAATTCTCAGAAATGCGAAATGATTGCATTTTAAATTTATAATTTACATTAGTTTGTTTTTGCTCTATAATTAGGTTTATGTTTTATGTCCTTATAAAAAATAATAAATTTTCTCATTTTTCTATGAAACGATTTGTTTCTTGTTGTAATTTCATTCAAGGTTGAGTTACTAGCTAAAGTATTGATTTGTTATGCTGGTAATGATCGTCAGTGGAACCACATATTGCTTAGTGAGCACATTTTATGATTAAACACACATTGAGCTAATGTCATTTGAAATTTAAACCATTGAAATAGCTTAATAGGTGTCAAGATGATTCAAGAAGGTTTAAAATCGTTCAAAATGATCGTAGAGGATCCAAGAAGATCTAAAAAGTACAAAATATGAACGTAAGGACTCAACAGTGTCCAAAATGCTCTAATGTAGGTTCCAAGAGTGTTCATTAAGATCCGAGCGAAAACAAAAGTTCCATAAGGTTCCATAAGAATCCAAAAGAGCTCAGACCCTCAAATTTTCTGAAATTGATTTCCTAACTCTAGCTAGCAAACCCGTTACCCTTTTTTTGCAAACTTAGATAGTATAGATTAAAAAATTTAAGCTAGACAATTTTTTTTAATAAATTTAAAACTAATGAAGGAAAAAAATACATAAATTGTTAATTTGCACGCTTTTGTTTTTCTTAAAGACTGACATACATACACAGTACAGAAATTAAAATAGGTTACTCTTTGAGTTTTAAGTAATTAATTTACAAAAAAAAATATTGTGTTTAATATACTTTCTTTTAATAGAGAGAGATTAACATTCTTTTAAACCTAACCAAGGAAATTCGTTTTAATACCATCGAAATATTTTTAATTACTTTTTTTTGTTCAAAATTAGATTTTTTTTAAAGTTTACTATACACATTGTTTTATTTTGGATAGAACATATCAAGGGTGTGGTACTGATGAAATGATCAAAAATGATCAAAAAATGATCAAAAATGATCAAAATGTAATTCGTCAGTTCCACACCCTTGGAGCATATAACCTGATTGAAGCATGAATCTAGTCAGAATTGCACAAAGGATCAATACAATTTAGTAGAGACAGTTGTAAAGCTAGAGACTGAATTAGGAGTTGGTTTTGTTGGGATTTTTTTAAAAAATCTAGAAATCTCAACAAATTTCTGATTCGTCCCAGCAAAAGAGTTTCAGTAATTAATTTTTTTTGAGAGAAATATTTTAACATTGACAGCCCGAAGGTTGCGAAACAAATCAAAATGATCAAAAAAGACCAAAAATAATCAAAAAATGATCAAAATCCACACCCTTGGACAGCCCTGAACCTTTTTTTCTTTATCAAGAAGGCATCTTCTCTTTGTGCTGTTTGAATAGCTGTTAAGTAAGTAACTAGACTAGTCAATTGGAGTTCTACTATAAAACTGTCTTCATGTGCAATCAGTAATAGTTTCCATCCTCATTAGTATTCAATCAAAATGTAGACACTTTTTGTGGTTGTAAAATTGATAACATTTTAGCGTTTTAGTTCCAGTAAAGAATCAATATTGGAGTTAAATCTTGTTAAAATAATGATTATTGTTGATCCGAACCTGAAGTTGAATATTGCAATCTGATGTAAATTTGGATTCAACCAATATTCTTCAGTTAAGTGTTCATTTATTCGGCTAGTTTGAGGTTATAGATCATGTTGCCAAATTGTCACTTATTAATTATCTATTTCTCAATTTCAACCCTAAATTATAGTTTAATCAAATATTGTTGTCGATATTCCAGCCAATTGCTAATCTTGTCTACACTTTGATTAATTTCTATTAACATTTTTTTAAATTATTTTCATCCTAATCCTCATAAATTTTTGTATTTCTGTTATTTTTAAAAAGTAGATTAAAAGCTTATAAGTTATTTAAATAATTATTTACTTAATCATTAATTGTTAATGTTGATGATGAACTTGATCACATCTAAGTGGCATATAATGTTGAATTTTTATAATAATTTGAACGCTCTTGCAGTGAGCCTTTAACATCATTTTCGCTCGCCTGTCGATTCTTTCTCTCCAGTTCCATTTCTTGTGCGAGGGATTCTGTAATGACATTGAAGAGAAAAATATGAATAAAATGAAAAAAAAATCCGCAAAAATGTTTAATATGCAAAGTGAGTTGTAATGTCATCAGAAAAAAAAAAATCCATTTGTGTCACACAATAACATATTTCTTATTCTTTATGGCAATTTCTTATATTTTTTAACCTCCAACCATCAATTCATGTCGTGCATATAGCAACAACCCACCCATAATGACAATGAAAAAAAGAAATTTATAAATTTCTTGCAGTCTCATTCAGCATGTTTTGCCAATATGAAAATGATGACAAAGTCATCACACTTAAACATTCATTTTTATCGATTTAACTTATGGAATATCAACGTCACATAACAACAATTTCGCGTCTTCATAAATCCAATAATCGACGACTCTCACCCTTCTTGATATTTTTTTTGTTTTTTTTTTTATTTCTGGTGGATGTACTTTTTTATAAAAGAAAGGAACAAGAAAAGTTTTTTGTGTTCCTTCATTCATTTGAAGATGAGAAATAATGTTTAAGGAATTGAAGATGTTAGGAAAGTTGGGAGATTTTATTTCAATTTAGGAAGCGCATTTTGACTATTGGAGGCTGGCTCACTAATTTGAATCTATAGAAGAAGTAATGATCCTTTGGGACTAGAACCCTAATCCAGTGATGGCCAACCAATGTGCCGCGGAAAGATTCAGAAAATTCCTCGAACAGTTAAATTCTTAAGCAGTTAAGTGCCTTGCTGGTCGAATAGGTAAGGCGCTTGGCTCAAATTTGGTATGGTAACTCGAAGGTCGTCGGTTCGAATCCAGCCATTTCCAAATTTGTTCTTTTTCAGAAGTTTAGATACTTCGACTGCTTAATGTACGAGTCAAGCCATAATTGGGCATTTTGGGCAACGTTGGATTAAGGAACGGATCAGGAACTTGAAGTGTAGCGGGAGAAATAGGAACGAGAGCTACAAGATTACCTTATAATGGAATATTGTCAGAACGGACCTGAAATGTATCACGTCACGCCCACAGAAGATTGAAACGAGAGCCTTAGTTTATTTGAAACCTAGATTTGAAGATTAGAAGCTTGATTCTACGTCACCCATAGTGATATGAAATGTATCACTAATCAATGTAAAAAAGTAAAAACATGTATAAATACTAATTCTTCCGGACGGTAACGTCGACAAATAAATAATAATAATAATAATAATAACCGTATGCTTTGTGCAGCTTTTCTCCAAGGTGTGCCGTGGCACAAAAAAGGTTAAACACCACTGCCATAATCCTAAAGGTATCTAATGACACCAAAATACGATAAGGTCAATTCGTCCTTTACAAGAAAAAATCCACCTGAGATCGTAATTCGAAAAAGTACCAAAATTAAAATGAAAGTCACTCTTTTTTAATTCTGGTCATTAGCGCTAAGTTATTGATCTCTCGAGATTTATGAGACTTAATTTGATGTCAACCTTGTACCTTAATTTAACTGAGTCCTTACTATCACCCTGTCTGTGCTTCAAATGCTGTCCCTTCTCAAGAATATTCAATAAATCAAATCAAAATCAAACCAAACCTATCCCCATAAGTCACAAAAACTGCACCAGCCCCAAACTTCAATCATCAAAAAAACAGCACAACAACTTTTCCTCATCATCTTCCTTTATCTTGTTTGAATTTTAATTTTTAATATTTTCGATTCGTTTAGAATTTAAGAGCCGTATAATGCATTTCAAATGGAAAAAAGATATAATTCGCTTTCTTTTCTTATTTAATATCTCATCCTTAAATTTTCACGGTATTACGGATAAAAGAAGGGCACGAAAAAAAAAATGAAATGCTTTTTTATACATTATAACGATAATCCAATTTTATCCTGTTTTTTATTTTCTTTCTTTATTCATCGCGAAGAGAGAGAAAAAAAAATAAATGAAAAGAATAGGAAAATTGCCAGTTGAGTGAAATGCGTGTGGTAGGAGGTAGGCAAAAAAAAATATTCAAATGGCTGTAAGGAAAAGTCGAAATAAAAATACACACAACGGTAGTAGAAGAAAGGATTTTTTTCCATCATCATATTTTTGCGTTATCATGATAATTTTTTTTTCATTCTGTTGTTGCTTTTTTATTTACTTTTTGGCGAGAGACAGTGGAATGAGAACCCTGAAGGATGGAAAAAAATGAATTCTTTCTCCTTTCTTTTTTTATTGTATCAGTGAATGCGATCGAAAAATATATTTATCCTGCATGCTGAAGCGTATATGAACATGAAATTCCAAATGATTTGTACTTATTGTCTATTTGGGGTTGCTACTTGCTTAAATGCAATTCTATGTCGATTCCGAATTTTTGGTTTTGAAAGTTATTTTAGAATACTATCGCAAGCATGAAGTGGATTATCAAATGGAGGATGATTGACAAAGGAGTAGAAAGCATTTACAAATTAGGTAAATTGACAATCAAGGTTTTTTTAACTCTTTCTCGGAAGTTGCCATGAACTTGTTTAATGCCATAGTTTTGAGAATGCCATAATCATCTATGTGGTCTTCGACAAATGTTGTCCCTCAAAAATGGGGCTGATGGATTTTTAATCAGATTAAAGGTTTCATACAGCTCCAACCACAACCCTACCTTTTAAATGATATGAGGTATACATAGGGTGACCATCTAATTTTTATGAAAATACAGGAAATTTGATAAATTTCCTAAAAAATACAGGACACAAAGAAAAATTTGAAAATTAACGGAACTTTTCGTGAAAAAAATACAGGACCTGGAACAAAATTTTCAAATTTATACAGGACAGGGTTTTGATATACAGGACTGTCCGTTGTAAAACTACGCAGATGGTCACCCTAGGTATACATAAATCGCTTCTTCCTTAATTACTGATGACCAAGATCTATCTTAAATAGTGCTATATTGAGTTTTGCGCTTGGAATCTCAAAATTAAGAAACAGCTCTTCCAAAACTTAATCTGAGTGGGACGACTAGGAATGATATAGGAAGGTTTTTAGAAAAATGTCATTTGTGGTCCCTATCTCTAGTAATTTACTAGACATCATGTCAAGCTTTCTACTCGTGCAAGACAGTAATTTTTTTAACTAAGACCTTAGTAAGTTGCATACAACGATGAACATAGTGGTGCGAGGATCTTGTAAAACACAAAAATATTCCACTGCAATCCAAATGAATCCCTCACTAAGTTGCTATTTCCCTGTCAATAATCAATACACTAAATCCATCCCCAATATAAATGCGTTCAGATCCCCTTCAAATTTTCCACCACTTTATTTTTCAGCTTTGGTTAAAAAATATTTTTCTTTTTCTATTCTTTTTTGTGTTTATATATATTTTTTCATATTGAGCATTGTAAACGAAGCAGAAGCAGCAGCAGCAATGAATATTATAAAAATTGAGAGTTGATTCAATTTCACGCAACAATTGTTTTTGTTGTGTTAACGTTTTTGTCAGTTACAATGAAATTGTTCACTTCTTGTTTGGCTGTTTATCTACTTTCAGAAATGCTATTTTGTGAATTAATGGCCGGAATAAACATTTTTCTACAGTCGACTGCTGTTGAGTAGTTAAGTAAGTGTAACTTACATTTAATCTTAAGACATTGAACATTGTTGCAATATATTTTGTGTATTTACCTGAATAATTCTGCCAGAATGCTCCTGTTGCCATAATATTATCAAGACCTGGAGGATAATTCCAATTTTTCTCGCGTTCTGCTGGTAAATCGCGACTTCTTGAACGCTTCGGACTTCCACTACTATTTGCCTTATTATGATCGCTTAAACTCTTTTCACGCTCTTTATCGCTCCGATTACGATCTTTCTCACTATCTCGATTCTTATCCTTATTACTGCCCGACTCACTCTCCATTGATGTTGAATTGTTGTTATTATTTATCGTCGTATTGTTATTTTCTGTAATAATCATTTTAATATTTTAATAAGCAACTCAAGCCTATGTTGTGCTGAATGAATGTTTGTGGCACTTAAAGGAATTTTCTCTTTTTTTTTCTGAGAGATTATTAAGACTTAGGGATTTTTGCTTCCTTTAATGACAAAAACGTGAAGGAAAGATTTTTCGGGAATCAAGAAGCATCGAATTGAAAAGTATAATTCACCACTTTTAAGACTAATACAGCAGGTAATATAACAGTTGTATTTGCTATCGTATTTTGATTCAAAGGGTTAGGTACGATGAGCACATTGTCCGGAGATATTATATTCTTAATTGTTTTACTTTCTTCAGGATTGTTTGTATTCTAAGCAACAACGAACAAGATGTGAACCCTTCGTCCCTAGCATTTCATAGTTTTAACATCAATTCTTAAGAATGAAACCAAACTATGCGTTCCATACCACCCAAGATCAATCCTACTTACTCTATCTTATTACAGTTTAATCAGCATATCAAAAATTAAAATTATTTTTCCAACCCTTTTTTGCTTTTCCTCAGTTTTTGTTGCTCTCATTCGCACTCACAAAAGCCAGTATAAAAAAGTGGAAAAGACGAGTGAATTATAAAGACTGCGGGGCAGAAGAAATCATCATCTTATGAGATGTCAGAAGCATGAGAAATTCATAAGCTTCTTTAAATGCCACGTCGACATTATTTTTTAAAATTTTCAAAATTACAGTCAACAGTTTCACAATTTTTTATGTTTTTTCTTGGATTTTTGCAGATTTTTAGAGTGAAATTTCCTTATGGGAGAATCGTGTGATTTTTATGGAATTTTATGTAGCAGGCCTTATAAAGTGGCAGTCATATAGAATCAATTTGAGGCCAAAATCTTAAATAAGACTTAAAGTTGGATTCTTTATATCGATTAGATAAGTTTTCATGAACAGTGTTCGAATCCTTGTTACACAAAGACCACATTCTAATGAGAATCGAACCACTGGCACTGGCAGATTCAACTGTATAAAGCTCGAAACACCAGATTGTACTCTATTACCTAGTTTCTGAGGCTACCCGAGTCCCAAAGTGTAGTCAATCGATTTTTGATTCTAGGGTTTGTTCCTTAGGTAGCCACTCTTGGGTATATCTAATCCAAATAGACTTAATCTGACTCAACAAATCTGCCAAAACCTCCTCAAGATGATCGTGGCTTAAAACTTACCCGCTAAAATTCTTAATGCTTCAGCTGGAGCTCCCGATGCTTTGAGGATGTCCTCTATTTGATTTCGCTTCTTTAGCTCATTTTCCATTTGCTCCTGTAATCTTCCTCTCATTCTTCGTTCACGTTTGTAACGCTTTTGATATAATACTGTAGATGAAAAATAATAGATTGTAGATTAATTTGAGTTAGCAGAGATAATTGATGGGTGTGCGGAATAGTTGATTGTGCTTCAAATTGAACTGAAGAATTGGATGAATTTGAGGTTAGGTATTAAAAATGTTTGACCTCTAGCATTATGCTATCAAGACTGATAATTTTTCCTATTTTAAAACACTTAAAATTTAAAAGCAATTTAAAATTCAACTTGAAAAACAATTGAAAACATAAATCTCAAAAATTCACGCATGTCTTCTTTATTTTCGATTAAATTCCGTATCAAACAGATGAAACAAGAAAAAAGCACTTGTAAAATAAAAGGAATTAGAAGTAAAAATTGATTTATTTCAATGTTGATCGAACACGAGAGAGAGAAGCATAAAAAGCAACAGCAAAGTAAATTGAAATGAAATCAAATAAATAATTGAATTTGAAAGGTTAATCAGCAGGGAATATCAGCATAAATGCACGTTTTTACCAATATGAACATGAAGAAATAACATGTGTAGATATTTTCATAAATACTCGAATAAAAATTATTGAGCTGAGTTGGGGGAATTCATATATCATCATGTAGCAATTATATTGAGTGAAATAGCTATGCCAATTATAATTTATATGCTTTGAAATATCTAATTCACATATAGCTACACATTTAATTTACTTTCTTTAATTCAATTTCTTTTGTATTTGCTCTCATTTAATTTTTTGATTTGATTAGATTGTTAATTGCAAAAGGAACTGGAAGTGTCTAAGAATTGTCGATATAAAATTATGAATGGGGGCGTTCATTAATTAGGTTCAAAGATGGGAGGGGTGGGGGGAGGTAAACAAGAGCTTTGAGGTATTAGAAACTATCGTTGTCTGAACAAAATGAATTTGTCCAATGAAGAAACCAGTTTTCTATGGATTCTGAATCCAGCAATGAGACCTTGTGCACTTTAGGAAAGGAAGCATAAAGCTAGCCATCATTTGTGAACGACTCCAAAAAATAACATCCAGACCTTCTAAAAGAATGAATGCTCATAACATCACGTGAGTAGGAATCATAATCCACGAAAGAATTCTTTGTTTTTATTTTGATACATGAGCCTTTTCATTACAATACATTGCCCAATGATGGGAATAAATTTGAGGAAACAACAGCAAAAATAATTGGAGCAAGAAAGAATTGTTCCTTGTGTAAATTTCATCAGAATTGAGCAGTTTCTTAGTTCTGCATTATTAAACACAGTGCTTTGAACGGATTCAGCCAGAAAACTTTTGACCCTCTTCTGAGGGGTTTCTTTACCCTGGCTGGTTAGTACGATATACATATAATGAAAAGTGGCACAACGAAGGGGATCCCATACTCGAATGGCTAAACTCCTGACTAGTTGAAAAAGTAGCATAAAAATAGGAAACGGGGCTCATGCCTTTAAACGTTGCACATAACTTAATTACAGCACTACATAGTTGAGGAAGGGAGGTCATGGATCACAATTGATCTGTACGACCAGCGAAGTAAGTAAGTACATAGTTGAGGAATCATTCCATGCATACATTCTTGATATGACATCGATCACAAAAGCCCCTTGCCAACCACAAACTATGACTGTCTCAACAAAATCTAATGAAATCCCTACAACATCCTAAAAGGATTGTACTTAAAATAAACCACAGTCGTCATCACCATAATCATCAATGCCGTGTCTGTTTTAATTTTTTTTTATTTTATTTCTCTTTCAACTCCACTCCCTCGTCTCATATTATATATTGTATGTACTTTTGCTGGTGACTTATGACTGTTTCCATACTCTTTTATTATTTTTGTACGAATGTGCCTTTCAACAGTTGTAAATGCATGCTAGTTACAAGAATTATTGCATTTAAAATGAAAATGAAATGGTAGGTAAGAGTCATGTATCATAAATAAAAATGGAAATAAAAGTTGTAAGTACGTGTGTGCCAAATGCATATATCGTGCAAAATGGGCTTTTATTGTTTTTTCATACTTTTGTAAATCATTTTTTTTTGTTTTTGATGTCGAAATGTTTTCATATCGCCATTATAATGAATACATGCAGTATATAAATTTTGAAAGCAGCTTGTGTATGTGGATAAATATACAGCAAATTCCATATTGCCGCATTCTGCATAATTTAGCCCCAAAATTAGCATTTTATATACCCCTGCTCTCTATATCGTGTTGCCTTCTTTTTATTAAGAATTCAAAATGAAATGGAAATAAGAATAAAAAATGCACAGTACTGTGCCGTATTTTGTGGTTGAATGGTAAAATATTGGCAATTGCACAATACATTATTAAATATGATTATAGTGGATATACACATGTGAATAAGAAATAACAAAATTCACAAAAAAAAAAATAACAAAAGAAGAATCTTGCTCATTTTATTATTACACTCCATCGAGTTGTTGACTCCTTTTATGGCATTTGGTATGTTTTTTGGCGAAAACAATGGGAAAATGACAAGTTGGAGAGTCATATGGAGGGTGGGATGGTTTGAGCGCATGGTGCGAATTTATAGCAGTTAATTAATGGGAAATTGTGATCATAAGATGCTTCTTAATCCCTCATCAAAAAATACTTTGACTACACACTTGGCAACATAGTCATTCAAGCTTACTTAGAAGACTTGTAGTTGTACTGCAATATTAAGCAGATCTTGAAATGAATCCGAATCCTGACGAGTCTTGTGTTTGAAAAATTCAATCTTATCGTTTGAAGAATGGGGCAGGGGGAAGAGGGGGGGGGGGAAGGGGGTTAATAATTCTCATCAATTCTTAAAAAAATTGTCAAAACCAAAAAAAAATGCTGCGATCGAGCAAAACACATCATTTATAAAAGCCCTCAACTCAAATACCTTTGTATGTGAGCAATTATCATCATCAACTAAACAGCAAGAAGACACACAGAGGTATGGAAACAAGTTTATGCCCTCAAAATACATTTTTCAACGCATATCATTATTTTCTGATTGCTTTACTTCTTTTCTCATTCTTTAATTCTCTTCATTTTCATTTTCTGCATCCATCATATGTACAGCATAACTTTGAAGTCCGAAAAAAATGTGTGTATGTAGATTCCATTTATTGATTCCATTGTTATTTAGTTTTATTTTTGCCCAAAAAAAAATTTTTCAGAACTTGTTTTGTGCAAGAAGCAAAAATGAAAAAAGATGAAATAAAAAATTAGGAAGTGCTTTAAATGATGCATCAGTCAGTAGATGAAAATGCATAAAAAAATTCAAATGGAAGTTAAAAATGAAATCAAAAATAAGAAGATTTTTTTTACTTCTTTAAATGTCTGGAAGTCAAAAAAAAAATCAGACATTCATTTTGATGTACAAAAATTTTTATCTCTTTTTTTACGTGTTTTTATGCAAGAAAAAAAAAGAATTGAATGAAGGAATTGAGGAATATTTGTGAAGCCATGATTGCAGTTGAAATATTCATTTAAAATGATGAGAATTATTTGTTGAATTTTAAAATAATGGCGGATTTGAAGTGATCCATCATTAAATGCATGAGAGTTCTTCTGACTTAGTATTGAGCTGTTATATCTTGGAGTTTTAGGATTTGAGAGGGGGTGGTCTAGGAATTATTAAAAAGTGAAATTTGAGATCCTGAAGAAATCATTTTTAAGATTTCCAACTGTTGCCTGAAGATGAAGTTAAACTCAAGTATATTTTAAGTTTTTGGATACACTTTTAAGATGACAAAACTCTATTTAGAGTCTTTAAACTACAAAGGAAGGTTTTAAGCTACATTTCTAGCTTCTTGGTTAAAAAAAGCAACAAATATTTATTTTCCTGCTGAGACTCGAACCCACGACCACTGAGTCGATGTTGCTATAATTATGGTCTATAGTACGAATCCCTTACACCACATATCAACCCCAAATCACATAAACATGCTTAAACAAAATTAATATTCATTCTAAATTCAAACATATTCATTCATTCACATTCATCCATTCCTATGCATAGCTATGCCTAGCTCCGAACAGCAAAATTTACGATTCTCATATTACATTGTAAATTGTCAGTTAGACTCAACACAGCTCAACGAAAGTATGCAATAACATGAACAGTATATGAAACTCATTAGTAATTATTTATATCATAAAAAAATCTCAATTAATTCTTAATTTGCGGCTACTATTCATGAACTGGAAAATAATAAATGAGAAAGAGGAAAAGATATAATTTCCCTTATTCTTTCTGTTTCCATAATCTGCATCTTCTCAACAAATTCTCATTGTACTGTAAAGTACACATCGTCAGTATATTCTTCTACTTTATTTCCACTTTTTATTCTATCTAAAAAATTGTTTATCCTTTTTTTTGTGATTATTCCTGTTTTGTCCAGAGTGGAGATGGAAGGGATTTAATTCTTGTATGACTCTTATTCGAGATTTTTGTAATTACGATATGTTATCTCGTAAAACTTATCGGAGCAAATATCGTTGAGAGGTAAAAAAAGAAGTTGTGAAAATTTTAGAAGTGTTGGATGGGGTGTGGATGGATGTTGAGGTGTCTTTATGTCGAATTTGAGTTCATGGTTTAGTGACTTATCTATAGTCAGGTAAAGAGTTGCTTAGTGCTTCGGAGTTTAAATTATTATACTATCTATAAAGCATAGGTTCGATACTCAACATTGCATCATACTAAAATATAAATAATTGAATTTAATCCTCAAGAGTGTCGAATTGTCCAAACTGTGTGCCCAACACTAAGTTTCCAACACTACCGGAACATCCTTCGATGTACAACATCATGGGATGTAAATCAAAATTATCTGAGCCCAAGGTAAGGTGCTATTAGCCTTTGGAACCTCGTAAAATTAGTTTAGATAATTATAAATAATGAATACTAATCCAGATCCTCTTTGACAGGGCCCAACCTTACAAAAATTGTGATCTACGTCTTTGAAGTCTCGAGACAAAACGGTCATTTATGGAGTGGTTCAAATCCTACTTAAAACCATATGTCTAGTCTTAAATGCAGACGCCTGAAAAATTTGCATTACAATAAACTTAAATCTGCCATTAAATAGATACTAAACACGCATACATAGCTGAAAAGACATCAAAATTAGCTTCGCTTCCAACAAAACACACACAAAATCTTCAAACTTGTTTCTCTTATATTCACAAAATGTAATTATCAGTAAATCTCAAATCTAAAATGAATCTTGACTTTCCCATTGGACATTTCATGTTTATTTATGGATAAAAATTCAATTTCTATAGAGAACTCTCAAGTGGAAAATTGTTTTTTACTTGTTGCGCTGCTTCTTTTTAAATACATTTTGTGGTTTTTCAATTTTTTATAATTTTTTTTTTGTATTTTTATGTGAAAAAGTTCATGAGTTCACTTTTGAAAATTGAAATTTTTGTGTTTTAGGAATTATTTGAATGAAAAAAATAAGCTAGCAAACTGTTGTAGTCAATTGAGGTGGGAGAAAATTGATATTGCCACTAACAACATTTTGCAGTTTACCACAAAAACTGTCAGTTCTGAATTTTTTGTCAGGGGTTTGAAATGTTAAATATATTGGATATAATATCTTTATTTACGTCCATTTCTAAACTCTGTGTCAATATCCAGTTCAAAACAATTTAGTTGTTTACAATCAAATTTCAGAACATTCCATTTGAAATTAATTTTCTTTTAAATCCACATTTGTTGTATAAAACAAGCATAGAAAGTCATAACAGTAAATTGCCTGGCACCTATTCTACGTATGACTAACAATGCACATATTGATAGTCAGTTGACTTCGTCATTGTAAAAGCCATGGAAATTGAATTGAACGGCGATGGAAGAGACAGGAAAAGGTGGCAATTATAGATTTTTCATACATTGACTTTAGTTTCATTTCAAATTTGAAGCACGTGACGAGACAAAAAAATTTTGTTTGAAACTCACCTCTTAGTTTTTGTTCTTCTGTTAATTGACGTTCCAGTGAATCCTTGACTTCACGTTCTCGCAGCACATCCATTTTTAATTCAGCTGTAATTAATTGGGATTGAGAAGTTTGATTTAATTTGAAGTTAATCGATTTGTAAGAATTATTAATTTTATTAAGGTTTGGAGTTTTTTGATAAGTTTGAAATAAATTTAAAATTAACTTTGAAGTGCATTTTGACATTGGAACGAGGATTCTTGCCTCATTAGCACAATTTTTCAAAAAAAAAAAAATTGATCTTTTTATTGTTTAAGTTTCTCTCCTTGTTATGTTACAGGTGAAGACGGTTGAGGTAGCTTCCCGTAACATCCAAATGAACCTAGTCTGATTAAACAATTTGTGGACAGTCAGTCAAATAGCCCTCAAAACACCCACACTCACAAATTAAATGCTATTAAATGATTTCTCACCAACAGACCTAGAAACAATCCAAACAAAAAAGTCAGAATTGCAAAAACCAAAACTTCCGTCGGTAAATTGACGACCTTTTGAGCAAAATTTCCTTTCGTACTTTAGAGATCTTTATAATAATCAGAATTAATAATTATAGTAATTTCTTAAATCGAATATTATCGAACATCAACGTTAATTCCTATTTTTTATGTGAAATTTCATCTTTCTTTCACATAAAACAATAATTCTCCGAGAATAGACTTGGAAAATTGATCAAATTATGGGGTCATGCTAAACGTTTTTCTGAATATCGATTTTATTTTTTCATTTCTTATGATTTCTCATATTGTGAGCCATCATCATCCAATTTTATATATACTTTTTTGTCGAGATTGAGTGAACGAGCTCAGAATTTTTGTGATCGATAGAATAAAAGGTCAATTAAATGTTTAAGACAGAATGAGGGACAAGAAGGAAGGAACAAAGATTATTTTTTAGGAAAAGTCATCGAAAATCGATGCAAGTTTTTGATTGAATGCTAATCATCTTTTGTTAATAAATCAATTCAGAAGTGACATTTTAATGAATAGTCAGTCACCTGATTCTGTTGAAATAATTTTCGATGTCTGAATTTTTGAAAATATTCCCACACAAAAATTTTAGACTTATTAAAATGCAGGATAAAGAACAATGTAACATCTTTATTTGCTCTGCGACGACATCCAAATTTGGAACTGCTTGTGCCGTTTTTGTAAATTATCAAATAAGATCTGTTGCAGTGTTTAAGGAGATAAGAAAATGTATAATGAAGATACAAAGAGAACAATTCTCGATAAATATTGGTTATTTAATTTAGCTAGTAGTTGACACTAAAACCATCTTCAACTAAGACTCTTTAGTCCTTAACCGTGAAAATTTCAATCTTAGACTGAATTTAGGGCTATGGTTCCTGGACTGTAACTTGAATAAAAAGGATTTTGATTTTGTAAGCCTTAATAGACAGCCTAGGTTGCCTTTGTAGGTTCCGAATGTTCCTATATGAAACCGGATACAATTCTTGTTAAACTTAGTGAAGAGCTACAGCTCAAAAGAGGAATCGGACTTTCTAATGAATGTTTTCAACATTTCTTTGGGTTTCAGCTTAATTTTATTCAAGTTTTGTAACAAAATTACCGTGTTTATCAGTTCTAGACAGTTAAATGATTCAAGATTAACAAGTGGCTGCTTCTACTTACAATTCAAATGTTATCAATTTGAGTTGAATGACTAGAACAGGACAGAAGCACCTTAATAATACTAAACATTCACCAAGATCAAACTCAATACATTTCTTTAATAAACCTTCTCCAAAATCTTTACGTTACTGCTGATGCCATGAGCTCCTTATATTAAACCAATAAAAATCGGATATTTTTAAATCTAAATCCAAGTTCAATAATCTAATTTTAAAACTTAATATCTCAGCTACTCGATTTTCTGTTCGCAAGACATCCAAAATGTGATGAAAATTAAAGAAGAAAGAAATTGGGTAACTCTAAAAGTTATTTCCGAGAAATCTTGCTCGCGATTATCTGTTTTTATTTTCGTTGGCTTTCCACTCTTTTGTTGTTGTTGCTGTTGCTGTGTTTATAACCAAGATATTTTAATGTCTTAAACAGAAAGTTATGGAATGAGTGAGAGGCGCACAAGCAGCAGCCGAGGCAATGCAAAAAAAAAGAGTCTTTAATGTTACAGATAATTATCTTCACAAAACAATGGATTATCGTTATTCAAATTTAATTTAATGAAATGGAATTCTAACAGCATTAAAAGTCAATACGGGAACTTTTTTTTTGTTGTTACTAATGGAGTGGGAAAAGCAAAAAGTTTGCATCTTTTTTTTTGATTCTTGTGAAAAATGTGTAGCTTTTTTTTGAGGATGTTGAGATCTTAATCTTGGTCAGTTTGGTTTTTGGGAGGTTTAAGAGTCTCAGGAGTAATTTTGGTTTGTTATAGATTTGAGGATAAGATGTCTTAAGAGTCAATAATAATAACAGACATATCAACGACTAAATCATTTTGATAGAAAGCTACTGCGGCACCAACTAGGCATGTTAGCATTCTAAGAAACTAAAATATGCTTTCCAGTCATCTAAATCAAATAAATCAACATCTCAACTGTTCATAACTTCCTCATAATTCAAACTTCTTCCTCAATACCTTACTCTAAGCTGTTACTATCTTAAAAAATTAGGAATGAGTAATTTACAATACAGCAAACTCAAATAGGATATTTAAACAAAAAATAAACGAAGAATCTACATTTGCCTCAGCAAAATACACACAAAAAAGAATCATTTTTAATGTGTTGCATAGCAAAAAAAGGGAGGTCTATAATAATATTTAAAGATTAATTTATTTACGCTTGACTAATTCAATTAATTCTTATAAAAGCGCCCACAGCGAAAAGGTCTGAAAGGTTTTCTTTTCCGAAACACAACAACTTTTTTTTTTATTCTATTCACTGCATTGTCATAAATATCCAACAGCAGCAACAATATCTGTTGAAGTTTCATATTTTTCTAACGAAAACAACAGAATAATTTTTTTTGTTGTTGTTGTTGTGCTTCGAAATGGATGGAAAGACGTAAAGATGATGATGAAGAAGAAGGAAAAAGAAAAACATTTAAATACACATTAGGTAAACGTTTTTCCTAGATTTTTGAAAGCATCATAATAATAATAATTTTAAAACTCACACAAGATTATTGCATATTTGAAAGAAATGCTTACACTTTAGAACTTTTTTAAAGGTAAAGTTTTCAATGGAAATATAGATAGAAAGGAAATGTCAGGTTTTATGGCTTTAAATGAATGTTTTAATAGCTGAATGAAATTATAATTGAAGGAAAAATTTTTATTTATTTTTTTGTTCATTCTTATCGTGTCCTTCAATTATTCTCATACTCAGAAATACTTTTTTGTGGAAGTTGTGGTTTGTTTTAGGAGAGTAAGAAGGAATAAGGAACAAATATATCACAGGAAATTTAAAAAAGATCCATTTTCTCAATTTTATATCATTTACATCCCACTCCTCAAAAATCAGTCTTCAGACATGCTTTGAATGTTCTCAATTTTTTTCCTCAAAAATTGTGGTATGTAAACTGAAAAAAAAATTATAAAAACAAAAATTCTTTCAGAAACACCTCAGGTGAAATGAAAAATCAAGAAAGCAAACATTTTGAACATTTTTGAAGGAGAAATTTTCACCATTTTTGAGAGTCTTTCGTTACCCCTTAACCATTAATATTATTGCTTTTATAATTCTTATTTTATTTACAACTGAATTGATATGAAAACATGAGAGGAAGGAACAGCAGTGAATGTGTGTGCGGTGGGAAAAGAAGAGAGTCTTTTTATGTGGAAAATATTTCCGTCGGCAAATTTTAATTTGGCATTTGAGTCATTTTTTTTGAGCAACTGTGTGAGTTGGTTCATGAATTTAGCCATTGAAGGTTCCAACGAGGTCTAGACCTATTCCTCCAAATTTCCCTGAATAGCACAAGTCGGTTAATCGAATAGAAATCAAATGCCAAGCTGGCATGACTTTGGAATCATGCTGGATTTAAATCTAAGCCAGCACCATGCCAGGATCATGCCAGCTTGGCAGGGGCATAGCCAGGAATTTGAAGAAAGGGGGGATAAATTTTTATTTGGTATTTAAAACTTTTTGGGGGGGGGGGTGATTTTTCCGAGTTTTTCATAAAAACTCTAGCAAAATGAAGAAATTTCTCAAGACGAAGAGGGATTTTCCCCCCAAATCCTCCCCCCCCCCCCTGGCTATGCTCCTGCAGCTTGGATTTTTCAAGCCAGAACCGTGCTAGGGTCATGCCAGCTTGGCACCGGATTTCTATTCGATTAACCATCTTGTGTCTATCCAGGGAAGTTTCGATAGAAAATCAATTCAGAGATGCTAAATCTATCGCTCATTAACATGGTCATACCATATTAGGATCTAATCACAGAAAGCCAAAATTTTTGAAGATCAATCAGTCAAATCTTCATACTTCCGATTTTTTAAAATAGAAAAAAATAGTAAATCAAACCATTTCATACCAAGTGAAATTATTAACCGATTTTATCTTCAACAATTGCAATATGAGAAGCGCACAAATACAGTCGAGATGGAGTGAGATGGAGACAAATTTAGCCAAAGGCATTTAAAGAAGCTTAAAAATTGTTGATCAGTGCGCAGTGAGTGCCTATAAAATAATGCGAAGAAGAAGAAGTAAGACGAGAGGAATGTGTATATTTTCATTATAAATTATCGATTTCACTTAATGAACTATGGAGTAGCTCATAATAATATTTTTTTTTCATCCATATTCATACGTACACAAAACTTAAAAGGTTGTTGCTGATTTTTATTTTTCAGATTGCGAAAAAACTTTTAACACTGCTGCTGCATATAAACATTTTCATACTTCTCACTCTGTTTCTCTAATCGGTAATAATCGATTTGACGTTATCGCAACTATTAGCACGCACGAGATACTCTACTCTCTAACATGTTAGATATAAAAACAAATTCATGTGCTTGTGTATTGAGCAATTGAGATAAATTTCATTCGATAGATAATCGATATCATGTGATTTCTTCCTGCTCTGATTTAAGTGTGATTTTTTTTTTGGTCTACATGCTGTACAAATATGTGTTTTATTAATGTAAATTAAAGTTGCTGCTTTTAATGTAGGGCAAATGTGGGAGGTTTTGCTACTTTAAATGTCATATTGAATTTGATAATATTTGAACTAGAGTTTTGGAGGATTTGTTATTCAGGATGTGAGTCATGAAAAACTTTCGAATGGAGAGAAGAGGGAGAACAAGGAGAAGGGGGGGGGGGGTCTTAAAATCAAAAAGGGATATTTCCTAATAAAAATAGAATTAAAAGTCTAAACTTCTCAGTTTTGGAGATGTTTAGTATGTAAAGAACCTAATATTGAGCTAAATTGGCTCGGTACCGGAATGTTTTAGTGCTTGGCAGAGCTCGAAGTAGATAGGGTTCAAGTCGAATGAAGTTGACTCTGCTCGATTTAAAACCGAGTCGACTCGACTTTTCTTGATTCAACTCGAATCGAGCTCTGGTGCTTGGGGACATAATCATTGCAATACCGAAACAGCGATCATAAGTTTGAGACTCAGCAGAGAAAAATTTTCAATTCTCCTTATTCGAATCATATGATAAGAGGAAATGAGGCTCACAGCCTTCCTCTGTAGGCTACATGCAAAAATGTCATCAAAGGAGTGGTTCGGATTCCACTTTAAATTGTAGGTCTAGGTTTGAGCAGAAGATCTGGACGCATCCTCCCTTGTAAAACTATCATTAGCCTTGTAACGCATATAATGAGCAGCTCTGGATCTTAAGGTTTTAAACAGCTAAAGTTTATTATTTTTAATATTAAGCCTAGCCATTCCATCAATCAAAGATTTCTCAACTCTAAAGGTAGCACTTTAGTATGTCCAGCAATAATTTAATAATTCAAACCTTTCTTAAGTCCAATTGAATTTCTATTAAAAGCCTGAATGCACAGCATTTATCGATAAAATTCTCTGCTTTTCACATCAATAAAATTTCAATACCCTTAGATAATAATTTCTTTTGAAACGAGAAATAAAGAAAGAATAAGAAAACCAAAATGAAAATGAATTAAGCGTTGAAATGTTAAATGTGGAATTTACAGCAACTTTATCAGCATTTAAGAAAAAAGGGAGAAAAAAAGTATTTTCAAGTTAAATGTAAAAACCACTTAAAGATTTGTAATTTTTTTTCTTTCTTTCTTATTTACTCTTTTTTTTTGCTGTTGCAGGCATTCAACAGTTGCATTAAATGTAAAGGGCATTGTTCGTAAATTACGTTAGTTACGATTTATTACAAACATTCCTAAATGAGATTAAATTTATTGAGAAAGTTTCTCATTTTCTTCCTTCTTTCTCGAGTAAAATTAAAAATTATTGCCGCAAAGATAATTAACGCATATGGCAATATTTAATGCCTTTTCATTTAAAGGTTCACTTTTTCTTTGATTTTCATTTTTTTTGTGGAATCGATTTTTTTGAAGTCGATTGAAGATGTTTTCATACTTTGTCTTTTGGTCTGTAGTTCAGGGAGTTCCAAGAAGGGTTAACAAGCAGGGCTCTGTTCTTGAAGTTATGTTTCCTGGATGCTCTATTAATAGGATCTTAATAGCCACCATTTTCATATCAAGGTCGAACTGCAAGACAGTAATGCACTTGGTTTATAAATTGACAAGTGTTAGCGAGCCTTGAAGTCAGATTCAGACGTTATCCAACGAAGGTCATGATCCATAATTGACGCTACTTAGGAAGAACGACAGTGACAGAGGCAGAGCAGTACCAGACCGTTGTTAAAGTGTTTTAGTCCCACTGTAGATTAAATATGAGAGCTTGATATGTTAACAGTTAAACCAATGTCTTAGACTAGCTCTGTTTGTCAGGAGAACTGAGAATTTAGTTGACAAGTCAGCTTCACACCTAACATTACTTCAATCTACACATTCAGGTCCTAGACACAAATATTGATCGAAATATGTTCAGATTTTAACCCCGCTAGCCACGTCTCTAGTTTAAAGTACACAAAGCTGTTTGGATATCACCAAAAAAAATGCGTTTCAAGCCCCAAAACATTTGCTTCCCAAAGTCAACTCATTTCATTTTTTGAATTCGCAGCAAACGGAAAGTAAATTGGAGAAATATTGATTATTGAATTTATCGCACTCTATAGCAGCATTTCATTTGCTTTTACGAGTTGGGCGGCACTCAACAGTAAATAACATTCTTCTTTCTGTCGTATTTTTTTCTGCTGTTTTTTTTGTTTTTTTTTTTTGGACATGTGCTAAAGAACTTTCAACACGAAATGCAATAAAAATGAATATTGAATGCATACGTAGATGCATGTACAAAAAGCATTCCACAGTTATCAATTTGTATGCATTTAACATTTTATTACTTTACAATGTGCTCACAAAATTTTATTTAAATTTCAGTTTTTCATTTGCAGGAGTTGAGCATGCTTGATGCTGTAATTAAAGGACATAATTGAATATTATTCAGAGGTGCTCATCCCTTGGAGTGCTCTGAAATGTGCATTTTATTACTGCAATTGAAGAAAATGCAGTCAATTAAACTCAATCGAATTTCATCCATGCCATGCACAATTGGTATGTGAAAAGTATATATCAATTCAGCAGGTGCCATTAATAGACTTTCACGTCACCCCAATTCTTTGCTAGATCCCCATCCTCCAACTACATGTCTAATTGCTAATGCATTACTATACCGATATGCTTTTGTATTATGTGTACATTATAAATGTCAAAAACACATGTTATATTTAATAATAATCAATTAACACTAAATGCTCACCGCATTACCTTTCAACAATATACACAATTTATTTCGCGCGTTATCAATTTATAAATGCTTTTGAAAAGGAATATACATACATAAATATTATTTTTTTATTGGCATTTGATAAACTTTTTTTTCATTCCATTCTTGCTTTGTTGTTACTTTTTCCTTTTTATTAGGCTTTGTTGAATGGAAACAAATAACATAAAAAAGCATTACGATTGCTCTTTTGTTATCATTTAAATGGAAAAATATTTTTTCTTTTCATACAGTTGAAAATGAGCAGTTTGGAATGTTTTATTTGAGAGTAAAGGATGGTTGAGGTGCATTTAGGTTTGTGAGAAGGTTTTGCTTAGTTTGGAGTCAACTGAAAAGCAGAGAGATATAGTGTTAGAGCAGGGTGTAATCTAGGGTATCGAGCTGTATATAAGCGAATCTGTCAGTGCGAGGGTTAGGCCTTAGTGGCGCGAGTGGTTTGGTAATAGACCGGATATATATAACCCTCTTTTGTGACGATGTGGGTTCGATTTCCACCAAAGACCGATCACTCAATCATTATATTAAGTATTGTCGATATGATGTAGATCCTCGCAAGGCTCACGACATTACTAGAGGGCCTCAGAATCCAAAGATCCAATAAAATACTTTAGAATCAGGAAATATCTATGTCACGTCGAGACCAAAATACTAAGATCAAGTAAAATTCAGACGTTTTCAGAGATTTAGTAATTATCAATAAGTTCCAAGTTACATTTTTCAAAGCTTAATTTGAGGGTTCAAAACTCAGCTTCTTGACATAAAGCAATTGAACTCAAAACTCCAAAACCCTTAAAGCTCCCTACTTCATCAGTAACTGAGTCCCTGAAGTCATCCTTAACAAAATTTCAAATATTTTTTTTAACCTCTCTGATTTTTAAATGAACATCCATACATGAGTCAATTAGACAAGTTTATATCAAATCAAACAAGTCTATTCACCAACTCGATACCCATTCTATCAAAAAATTCAGCTAATAAATATCGTAAATGGCATTATGTTTGCATTCGATGTGTATTTTACTTTTATATTGTTGCGTCATTTGTATATCTTGTTGTTATGCCTTTATATCGTTGCTTCAAAGTTAATTTTTATTATTTTTTTTTGTTCAAATAAATGTTCAATAAACACACAATTTACCTTTCTCAAAGTTAATCTGTCGCTCTTGTTGGCGGGCATTATCAGCAGCGACTTTCAGTAAGCCTTGAATGTTTCGCAGAAGTGTTTCTGTCGATGATAAGTTCGGATCTTGTCCATTTGGAACGCTGGCAGCAGCTGCCAAGGCTGAATAATTTAATGCATGCTGACGTGAATCCAATTCGGTACTCGATGCTGGTGGTGGTGTTGCTGTTGCTGGATGTTCCGTATCACTGATTTCTGAATAAATATTTTGAGAATATAAAGATTGATGATTAGATGTGGATATTCAATGCAAGCGCCACAAGTTATATTAAGACTTTATCCTAAGCACAAGACATTGTTTTCTTCATCTCTTTCCCCATAAGCATGTTTACCAAAAAATAAGAATTTCATAAATAAATATTTTTTGAAACTCGTTGATTTCATGCTACTGGGTCATGTCACATGCAATAAAAATAAATCAATTTTTTAAATGGTATAAGCAATATATGAAAGAAGATATTGCCAAAAACTGCGCCAATTCGAAGTATATGTAAATCCACAAAAGAGCCAGTAAGAAGACCAAAAAATAAAAATTCAGGTATCTGTGTGCATTCAAGCGATTAAAGATGCGTGTTAATTTGGTTTTTGCGGTTAAATGATTCTCAAGTGAAACAGGCATAAAGAGATACCGGCACATTTTAACAGCGAAAAGAGTTGAAAGAAGAGGAGATATGCACGGCGCAGACAGTGCAGAGAGAGATGGGAATAAGAAGAAGATTCAATGGGACCCTGAAATTAGCAGAAAAGTAAAAACATATCGAAAAAAATATTGAAGCGAAAGAAATGTCAAAATCGATTTGAATTTAACCCTAAATTGATTATAATAAGTCACGAGCCGTGTCTGACTATAAATAGAAGTAATGAATGCTTTTGTGTGGATGTGTTTAGTGGCGCAAGGATCAATGTAAATATTGTAGAGGAGAATTAGAGACAAAATGTTGAAATTATTTAACTCTAAAAAAATTAGTTGTGGTGGATCAATAAAACCCAATTATTTTTGTGTGACTTAAAATATGAACGTCCCCAAACTAGAGTCGCCTCAAACACCGAATACAAATTAATACAAACCTTCATCATCCTTCTCATTATGTTCATCCACTTCAGACACATTTCCATCGCTCATATTATCATCGTCTTCACGTATCGATGGATTTGGCGAGTGGACATCACTTCGTTCACTTGGTGGTGCACTGCCTTGTTCATTGCCGCTTTTTGATAGATTAAGAATTGGACTATGACCGCCATTTGATGATGGACGAGGTGATGATTGAATTCCTCGCAATTTTACATCCATATCATTGCCACGCTCCTCACCCCTTTCATCACGTAATCTGCAATTGACAATTAAATTACAATTTTTCATTCCTTGATTCGATTTCCTTCCTACTTATTTGATGTTAAATGTTACATCAGAAAAAATCTTTAATTTATTTTTGAGTGTTTTTTGATCATTAGCTGATGCCTTTTCGTGCAGTGCCATTCCATTTATTTATCCCTTAGCATTAATAAAACAAAAATATTTTTCTGCATAAGTTAAGTAGAGAGAGTGAAGCACACAGTAAAAAAAATATGACAGATGTTGAAGCATTACACTATAATTTTTCATATTTTGCATAAACATCAAATCCAATCAATCTTGAACTGCTCGTAAACGACAGATAAACTCACTTGATTGTATTTTTAAAAAAATTCTTTTGCAAGTTTGAAATTTGTTGGAAGGAATTAAACGCATTTTTGAGAAATGAGTGATTTATGAGAGGTTGGAATGCTTTTTGTAAGGTTTTATACAGGCTTTAGTCGGTTTTTTGAAAAAAAACTTACAATATTGTTTAAATTTAAATCCACTTAATAGCTATGAACCCCTTTTGATAAGGTTTGCAATATTTCAAAGACTAGTTGGACGTATAGCATATCAAGAATAGTGCAGATCTTGATATGCTTGGAATTTACACAAAAATTGTGTCCCCAGTTCCCCTATCTAGTAGATAAAGGGTTGACCCTAGGACATACTCAAGTAACCGATCTAAGACACCAAAATAATCCTCAACATTCCAGCAAAATCAGACAAACTGTCCCAATTCCACCCTCAATTCACAAAACACCCCGCTCAAGAATCAAATTTGTTGCTTTTTGCATATTTTAATGCTATTTTCCTTTTTTTATATTCTCTAACTTTTCACTTTACATTCATTCATTGTCATCAATTGTGAATTTAAAGCAAAAACAAAAAAAGAATATATTTCAGGGTTCAGCAAAGTGAGACGCACACGCAAAAAGTAATTTTATGTATGAAAAATTGAATGGTATGCTTATTTTGATGTGGGAAATGGTTCTCGGTTTTGTCTCGGTAGATAGACTTCCTCAAGCACCTAAAAGTCATTTATCATTTTTCCTTAAATCTACACTTGAAATTTCCTTAAAAATTGTACAAACGACGACCCACCACCGCCACTTGTCATCGATTCTGATTTTGATCTGTTCATATTGAGATTATGCTGCACAGACACTTTACAATAGATTTTTTTTTGAATATTGGAAGTGAATAATGCGATTGAAAGGCAACAAAAATTTGAGGAATGAAAAATTGAGATTCTTTTTCCTGTTTGAAAATGTAATTTACATAAAATTTGTTTATGCTGATGTTGTGGAATTGATGGTGACTCGAATAAAATTGATAGAAACGTCATATAATGTGGTTAATGTGGTTATGGCAGTAGTATTGTTAAAGGGGGGGGGGGGGGGTTAGGTCCAAAAGGACGGTAAATAAGAAGGGTTTGGTGGCTTTAAACTGAAGTTTGATCTTTGCTCTGTTCAAATCAGGTTAGCAGGAGGGCAATATTAAGACGATTTATGGTACAAAACATTTTGTTGAGATTCCTCGATTCCACAATCTTATTAATCCTCTCCAAATAACAAAGAGGCTTCATTATGAATGAATGTCAATTTTATAAGACAATTCTAACCCAACTTCATGTCATACATCCTCAATATTAATCATAAACCTTCAACTCAATCCAATTTACAGAAATTCGCAGAAAAAAAAATAAAATTAAAATTCCCACTTCAAAAAACAAAAAAATTCAGTAAGTATCCCGGAAAATTGCCAACGTTAAAGATTATAAATCGTGGGGAGGTTTTACAATTGCCATAATAACAATCTCATGTTTATGACAAACGATTTTTTTCTAAGGACGTCATCGTACTTGCATTTCCCAGATTACAAATTTTCTCTTTATATTCCAAAATCTACACGATGATAAATGGATTTTAATATTAAAATGCACTGCAAAAAGAAGTGAGAAAAGGAAGGAATTGTTTGTGGCGTGAGCCGGGCACGACTGAATACAAAATAAAAGATATAAATGACTTTTGAATTTGCAACAAACAAATTTGGCTGCTAAACATGAACTTTTTGTGCTCTTTATGAAGTCGTTTATTGATGATGTATTTTTGTTTATAATTCATCGTGATGTGTAGGAGTTTCAGCTTTCTCGAGAATTTTGTTTGAGGGGTAGTTTAAGTCATGAAATGTGATATACCGAAGGTGTTGAAGTTACTTGATTGAAAGATTAAAGAATAACACGAGATTGAATGTTGAAAGAAATTGAGATGGATGATGAGAGTGAATGAGGCACTGAGTTAATGTGTTTGCTGTGACTCATTTCTTGATTTCGCTGACAGATTGATCGGTGAGGATTGTTGTTGCTATGTTGCTGTGTAGAATTTATGGCAATGGTTTAAATTATTTGCATCATTTTTTAATTCGTCATTTTTCGAGATTTTTTTTCAAAAATATATTAAAGATTTTCGAATGTTTTTTTAACAGTGAGGCAATGTTTTTATCCTGAATGACATTGTTTATCGAATTACTGAGGCACTGACATAGTTGTCCATTTGGTTTTTCTGTCCACGCTTCCTTCAACTTGTTCCCAGTTCCTTGGAAATTCAACAAAGGTCGCCAAATGATAGCAGATCTCAAAATCAACTAGATGTGACTTTAGTTGACCTACTTTAAGCTCTACATGGTCTCTATGGCTATACATACACTTAAAAGCTCAGCACATGTCATAAAAAGTCCAAATAATAATAAATAGACTCTGAATGACAGCCAGCAAGTTAAATTATTTCCAAAAAATCAACAGAAACTATTAAACTGCATCCTTGTGGACAGAAAAACCATCTTTACAGTCGACAATAATAGCATGTACTCAGTAATTCAATGATCAATGCCCTACAACCATAAAATTAAAATTCATTACAAACTCACCTCTCTAAATGTTTAACAATATCCTCATATGCAGCACGACAATTTTCCCAGATGCCAGATCTGTTTAAAAAAATAAAAATTATTTTCAGTTCATGAAGTCACTGAATTATAAAATAAACAAATCATTTGCCTTGTCATTGCTTCCATGCCGGGAATATTTTGATTTTTCATCAATCCTTCGCCAGGTCGAGACATTCCATGTGGTGGCATTCCAGGACTCATTAATGGAGCACCATGATGACCCATTTGTGCCATAAATGGTGCCATAGGATTGAGATGTGTTGGTGGGGCATTGTAGCCGTTAGCTAGTAATGGTGATTTATCCAATCGGGAAAGATCTGTAAATAGGATGAAAATATATTTTTTTATTCAATTAAATTTTATTTGTTGACATGTTGGACACATTTATCTGTGTATATTTATTGATGAGTGATGAATTGTTTGTGTTAACATTCCCCCTTTTTTTATGACTTCCAGCTAATGTCACATACATTTTATCAAATGATATTTTGAAGAGAAACAAAAACAACAGAATTGTCAGTAACTAAGTGACAAAAATATAATTTGTCATTTTTTTATGAAACGAAAAAATAGGATGGATGAAATGGTGATGATGATGAACAGTCGAATATGAGGAAAAGAAATCACAGAAAATCGTGCGTGCGACAAAAATTGAAAGTGGCAAGAAAATGTGTTGCACATATGTGTGTGATCCGCATAAAGTTGCTTGATGAGATTTTTGTTCGTTGGAAGTTAAGAAAATGTTTTTTTTAAGGTTTGCTTTTCAATACTTTCTTGGTTATGGCTTCTGGAATAGATTTTCTCAATTTTTGGAGCAGAACAGAGGTGTTTTCAGGAAGGTAGTTGTAAAATGTTCACTTGGTCATGTCCCAGGATGAGCTAAACTCTAACTCAACCCTAGCCACATAAGTCTTTTTGGGGTATCACTATACAATACTTTAAACTATGCCCTAGACCAGTAATACTCAAACTTTGTTGCAAAACGAACTGCAATTCCAAAAAAACTTGAGAATGGCTTCCCTTAGTTTTATATCTTAAGCCTTTTATATGCAATACTTTTGGTTTAAACTATAGTGAGTATAGTCTAATGGTATTTCAAGGAAAAAAGCCTAAAAGTACCCTCATATTAAGTTTATATGGCAAAGATAACGCTTCTGTATGTCCCACTCTAGGGTAAAGTCATTATAAGGTAAGACTTAGGACATACCAATTAGTCAGCATTCAAATTTCAGATTATATATTTAAAAACTTGTACATTAGAACTGATCCTCAACTCTGAAATTCACACCCAAATCACCAAACAAATTTCAATTTCTAATCACTTTCCGATGCTCATTTCTATTTCATCTTTTTTTTCCGACAATATTTTGTTTCATTAGAAAAATATGAAAGAATAGAAAATGATTGATTACTTCTAAATGTGTTCCTCTAACGGTACAAACGAGCATGAAACACGACAGCACAGCATTGTGACATTTTTATTTTCAATTGCTCACAGTCAAATGAGAATAAAAAGGAATTAAATATAAAAAGTCAATAATAATGAATAAAAAATAATTTAGGTAACGAAATTGCTGACTTTGTTTCTTGTAGCTGAATAGGGAGAATTAAAATACATAAAAATAGTGTCAAATTGAATTTTTTTTATTATGACTGAATGTGCATTTTTTTGCAAAAAAATAATTCTAGACAATTTATGATGAAAGAAGTCATCAATCATTTTCAGTAAAAACTTTTTGACGTTTTTCAGATGAACAAAAATAAAAGAGGCAAACGTTTCGTGTTTATATTGTGCATAAAAACGAGAAAAAGACATTTAAAATAATTACGTTAATGCATTTTTGGGTATTTTTTTGCTTTTCTCTTTTTTTCTTTATCTAGTACTGGTTTTAAGGTAAATGAGTGGATCGGTTGGGTTCATTATTTGTTGTTTATGGCGGTGTGGAAGTTATTTGAGTAAGATTTATATTCTAAGCTAGTCTAATCTACTCCAAGCTAGTCCAAACTAATCAAAACTAGTTCAAATTTATCCAATCTAGCCCAAGATATTCCAATCTAGCCAAACCTATGACAAAGTAGACCTTAAAAGTTCAACATCCCCAAAAAAATGCGTTCCTCTCATCCTCCATCCCCATATCATTCCCAAACTATTTCATTTCATTTCATTTAAAATTTATCCACAAAAAAATACGAACAAGCGACGAGCGAGCGACCAAATGCTACATGAATTCGCAAATAAACGATTAGCATTAATCATTCAGAAACAGCACAGAGAAATAAAAAATTATTTTATAATCTTATTGCACGCTATATGCATTTTCAATTCTTGATCTCTTTCTGAATTAAAAGAGAAGAAGGAAAGTGAGTGGTTTTATGGGCAATTCTTGAGATGAGTCATAAGAGGAAAGGTTTGGGAACAGCTGTTGAAGACTTTGTTGAGTTCAAAAGCTGATAAATTACCCAGCTCTATCTGCTTCCAGCTTCTGGGTGCAATATAGCTAGTAAAGGTGACATATTCTTAACTAAGGACTTCAATACAATGTCAAAACTTTAAATCTAGCTTTCAAACAGCATCTGTGAAATGAACCATGAATTTCCAAAAAAACCTGACCAAGAATCGAACCCAGAGCTTTCGAATTTCAAACCCAATGCTCAACCACTCAAGCCATTGATGCATTTTCATTGATAATTCCATTTCTACAATTGATTATATTGAACATAGAATTGCATTTATGGAACCACCCATGTCCATATTATTCAAAAAGATAAATGTGAGTAGAACCACACTGCTGACACAATGCAATCGAAATAATGTGATTTTAATAATCGTCTTTCTTGATATTAAAGACATCTTTTTATTGGAACTTAAAGCTATAATTTTTATGCAATTTCTTTAAATGTGGAGATAAATCAATTATGTTTGTGTTATGCGAACTGAAAACAGAACTGCGAAAAAAAATTCTTCATTTCTTATTCTTCTTATCGTCATCGCTCTTTATTATTATTTAGTGCAACAAATGTATTATCATTTTAAACGTTTTGTTCTAGATAACTGCTATTATCCAATTTCTAAATGATATGTCTCGTAAATGTGCTATTTAAAAACTGATGTTCATTCTACAAATGTAATTCCTTATTTCGCTCATTCCGTCTTGTGTTCTTCTTTTAAAATATGTTTGAGGAATATTCATATGAAGATAACAGAACTGAAATTTTATTTTGTGGAATGTTTGATGCAGAAAAAGGAAAACAGAAAGGAGGTCAAGAATACAGAATGTTGTTGAGGAATTTTTAGATGCTGAATTGAATATCAGCGTGCAAATTAGATAATGATGATTCTTAAATTTGATTTTTATTCAGTTTTGGAACAAATCTTAAGCTTTTAATCATATTGGTAACTTACATTCTCAAGCAGTGGCAGAACATAGACAATACTAAGTGTAGATCTCCCTATAACTGCCATATCTATATACAAATGTAAAACAAGTCGAGTTCGATGGGAATCGAACCCACGACCTCAAAAGAGGCGATCTCTGACCACTTGATCACTGACCATCGAGGTCCTTATCTCACTTTGACTATTCGTCATACACATATGACTAGTTCAACGCGAGCCCTATGCTCAGGTCTATCTACTCTTCGAGCCATACCCACTTAGGTCGTGAAACTGATCAATCATGTTTTCTTTAGCTCTACTCAGATTTTCAAGGCAGGATTGTCTAAATAGACATGGATACTGGCTCCTGAGCTACAATTAATGTTTTCTTAGACATCCAGGCCTGAGCTCGAAGTCGACTCGAGATTTTCATCGACTTTGTATGGCATACAAATTTTATCAACTTCGAGCTCTGATCCAGGCTGATATCAAGTCTAATAATATCATTTTGTCCAACCCTCCTATCCAGTTCCTCATCATATTAATTAATATTCATAGACTCTCTGCCTAGAATTTAACTCAAACTATATCCATACATTATAACTTTCTTAACAATCCATTTCCAAATAAACTTTTTTTCTTCCAAATTTGTTGCATATTTTTGGTCGTCTGCTCAATAAAAATAACATCTTTCAATCAAACTGATATCAATAATTTTGTTAAACGTTCACCCTTTTACATATTATTGAAATTTGCATAATCGATTTGAGGGAATAAAGAAGAAGTGGAAGACAAAACGAAATTTTGATAGATATCACGGATGGATGAATACATGGATGGATGGATGAAGAAGAGAAATTACCATGTGTGTATATTTAAAGAATATTAAAAATAGACCAAAAAAAAAATGAGGAAGATTTATGCAAATTTCATTTATACATAATTCACGCGATGTCTGCCGTGTTTCATTCTCCTCAATAATAATAACAATTTTTATTTTTGTTTAATCGCTTGATGCTTTATGCTCAACACATTCTCCGTCTGTAATTTTACAGTGTGCAGTCTCTCGATGTTTCGGTGGATCAATACTGAAAATTTCATCTTATCATGTCATGAAATGAATTTTCCCAATTTTATTATAATTTTTTTCTTTCTTCTACTTATGCTCACTGTGTGTGCGATAACTTCCAGACATGTCAGTATTGCCGCAAGCTATTGAACATTTTGAAAAAAAAAGTTTTTATTTTTATTTTTTAAAGGAAAATAAAGAAGAATTCTTCGTTGTTATTTAAATGAATGTTTCATGTAAATTTTTTCTGCATATTTGATTATTTGATTATGTTTCTGATTATTTACCATTTTTGTTCTGTTTGTGATGAAATGAAATGGAATGTTTTCGGTTTGAGAGGAGATTATTGGAGGGATTAGGAGAGGATGAAGTATGAATCATCGATTAAATAAAGAACTAAGGAGGGGGATATACTATAAAGCCAAAGAGAGACACTAGAAGTGCCTAAGATAATCAATAGGGCTTGGTGTTCTTAATTTAAATACTTCAAATAAGCTAGAATCAAGAATTGTGAAATGGCAACAATAGCATAAGTGGCCTAAGTGGTAGAGCGTTGGGCTTACGTGCAAAAGGTTCTGGGTTCAATCCCAGGCCAAGACATGAAGCTCTTTTTCTAATTACAAAGCTCGGTTCATGTGTTGCGTGTAGTTTTGAGGTCTTCGGCACATAAAGTGTCTCCTTTGCTAGGTATACAAGGTATACTAAGATCTGGATGATTTCATTACAGCACCATGCGCACATGGATTGTGACTAGGTACATTGCAGGGTACATCAGGTCTTTTGATGTTCTCGTGTCTTTGCAATGTTCAAAGCCTGCAAGTGGTTCGGATCCCACTATGAACGGTAGCTCTAAAGGATGTGACACAATAGATTCGGTTTTAATTTGAATTGCAGCACCTTCAGCTCAAAAGGATGGACCCTCTCCATGTTTTGCCTCTTTAAAAATCAAGAACCCAACCGAAATCTTAACTCAGCTTCATTTTACCTTAATATTAACAATCCAAAATTCCCAACTCTGCGTAAACCTTCAAAATTAAACAATTTTCAATCATAAAATACTCAAAATATTAATATCCGACTAAGAAGAAGGAGTTTTAAGAGCATTTATGTCTTTCTATATATTATTTCCTTTTTCATACGCTCCTAGCTACTTCATTATTGCCGCGCTATTGAGGACCCACTTTTTAATACCTTCAAAATGAATTTTTTTTATATTCTTTCATTTCGCATTGTTTAAAAATTTGAAATTGTTTCCGTTTACAAAACTACTTAAAAGTATGAAAATAAAAAAATGAGGAGAAGGAATTACATCAATTTCATATTTTTTTTCATTCACATTTGTGCCATAATCATAATTTCATTGTTACCAGCAAACAGCAGCAGCAACAACAACAATTAAATGCAAGAACAAGGAAAAGGAGAAATGAAATAAGAAAAACAAGCAGGCAAGGCACAAGCAGCTGTTATTGTGAGGAATATGAAAAAAAGTAATATTTAGCAATTGTAATAATTCCATAATTTGCTTTCAATCTGATGAGCATTAGTCTTTGATGTGAGGATAAAAAAAATAATAATTTCGTGGATTGTTGTTGAGAGGCATGAACCCTTCTTAAAATTGAAAAGAAAGATGAAATCTCATGCATGTATCTCTTATTCTTTTCAAATGGCACATATTTTTTTGAGATTTTTGCTTGATTGCTCATCGTTCTTGTTATTTTTTATTTTTTTTTTGTAATTCTTCCATCTTTTTGTGGTTTTTTGGAAGAGGAAATTGAATGAGATTATTGGGATTGGAATCTCTTTTGCTAAGAACATATTTTGGATGTGCAAATATACAATTATGATGGATTTTTATGGTATTGAACAATTTATAGTAGCATGGCGTAACAAAGGGTTTTGGTGCTGGGAGCTAAATTATTGAACTAGAGTTCTGACTGAAAATCAGATGCTGATGACTTCATGGAATAGAATCTGACTTAGTTTGAATTGATTTTGTTTTGAATTCGACTCATTTTTAAGGTTGAGTAGACTCGAAAAAATGAAGTCGATTTGAGTTCTGGCTGCATCGCGGGAATATTCATTAAAAGGCTGAGCTTCGACTAGCTTTACTTTGAACCAGAATTGCACAAGGCATATAAAAGTCTCAAGCTATTAGCACTAGAATGGATTTAACGTTTTATAAAATCTGACTATGCTCTAGATTCGAGGCAGCTTAGTGCAACTTCCTTAAGAATTTTCTACAGCTTGTGCTATTTCGAGAAGGTCTGGATTCTTACCTACATAATTTGTTACTCATATTGAATCTTATGTTTTTGACGATAAAGCACATTGAGTCAAATAACCAAGTCAAACATCACTTGTTTTAAAGCTAGCAATTGGATACAAATTCAATTAGGTCTTATGCATTTATATCTATTAAAATCTTCCACAACTAATATCTATAGATTCTCAATATTTCACCTTTTCCAAACTTATGTTCACAAAGAATCTATAATTATTTTAGTTTCTAATGGATCCATAAGTCCTTAATGGAATTTTACTTAAAAGATTTTCTAATGAAATTTACATTAAACTACAATGCATGGAGAAAGATCCTTAAAATATTTAAAATTTTCATTCTGTTCCCACACTTCAAAAACCAAATAAAAAAGTCCAGTCCATTTATGATCTTATTGATTGAATGACTTCTTAAGCTCTTCTGCAACAAAATATCACAAAAAAAAATGTAAGAACGTTCATTTTACTGCTGCTGCTGTTGCATTAACGATTTGCACAAAAATCTGTATTTAATTATTATTTTCCAAGTAAATGCCATCAATAAATTATTGAATATTATTACGGGCTCCATCATCTATCCATCTCATCCGAATGGATATACAATATGAAAATGTGCCTTCTTTTTACGATTCCATTTCATTTTCAATAATATATTTGTTGTTTGGAATAAATTAATATCTTTTTTTTTCTGCAACTTTTACTGTTGCAATGTTGTTGCCTTTTGTTGAGTGCAAGATTGTAAGCGAAATATTAATAATAATATAAAATGAAATACAATTTCTTCTCTTCTGTTCAAAAGGTATAAAACATAAAAAAAAAGATTTCTGGGCAAGAAGGATTTCAAACGTAATCTGTTAAGTGAGGACGGAGATGTGAGGTAATTTACATTGAGCGCATCGTTTTAGCACCGCTTAAGGGTTGCTTAGACATTTATCAGTGTTAAGTGTAACTTTTGGCATTAGTCTACAGAAATTATATAGACACTGTAAATTAGGGTACATCTAATGGGTGTACTTAAGCTGTACAGCTGGCAATCGGCTTCATGATTAAAAAACTGCATGATTCTAGCTCAAAAATTAAAAATGTCAACTCAGGTGCTAATTTTCCGGTACATCATACCCATAGTCTTTAACATATCTTCTACAAACCCTTGCAACCAGCCCTACGATCAGAAAATCCTTACCTCAACCTTGATCAGAAAAATCCCTACCTCAACCACTGATCCCAAACCGCCCGAAAACCCAATCGTAAACAAACATTTCCTCTTAAATTCAGCAAACGAAAATTGGAAGCAGCTTCAATGTTGTGTTCAATCGGCAGCTCAATGGAAAATAATCGTAAATTATAAAGTGATATTTTTATTTGAATTGCCTTTTTGTGTTTCGTTCTTTTCTCCAATTCTCTTGTGCTATTGACCATTCGGATGATCTTTCGTGCATGCCTTAATTCATTCGGAATATTTCTCTTTTTTTTTTGATTACTTTATACATGTATCTACAAATTTGTTGCCAATACAATGCAGAAAAATTTGTATTTTTTTCGTATTTACGAGAAGTCATAAAAGCTGTCGAGTTCCATCGATTAAATATGAAATATTCTCAGACTCTAACTGAATGTTCGAATGCCGATATTTTAGCGGATTACATCGTTCTTAAGAAATCAAATGAACAATCAACAAGCCATTTTAGTTCTTTTACTGTATTTCTGTTGAAAAGTCGTAATTTGCCTTAAAGGTTTACGCGTATTTAACCCCACTTTATTACATTCTCGTTATGATTGTGATATTTAATAATAATAAAATTCAAAATAATCAATAAATTGTCGAATCGATTCATATGCGCTTCATTATCGCTGTTCCCTCGTTATACGAGATTAAAAAAAATTGCGGATAAGAATCAAATGAACTTAATTAAATGAGTTCAATGCAAATAAATTAAAAAATCGTGTCCAACATGTGAAAAATATTCATTATAAACTCACCACTTAGATGTCCATTCTCGTACGGATAATCTCCATTGTCAAGACGATGCTTTTTCAGTTGCGGATGATTTGGATTGAGATGTGATGTGGCGGGAAGAGACAGTCCTACAGGTCCTCGTTTTGGTGGTCTACCGGGTCTAAAAGTTGATAAGATAAAATATTCATTTATAAAATAACAAGTTGGCTAAGACATTGTGGATTTTTTTGGAGGTTAGGGAGGTTAGGAAGATTTTTTAACTTTAATGACGTCACAAAAATTTGTTGTCAGAATTTAGAATCCTCAAATTTGCTGCTTGAGTCAAATTAAATTCTCCAGAAAAGCAAGCTACAATTTTTTTCCAGCACCCTCCAGAATCCACAATGCAGTAGTCAAAATTTTAATAATCTATAAAATCAAATTTGTTTATATTCCAGTTCCAATAATACACACAAAAAAAAATCATCAACACACATCAAAAAATATCTTTTTTTTTTTGATTTTTTACGGATCGTAAAATCTGAAAATTGTATCTTTGCAGATATTGTCAGGGCCAGTTGAAGAATAAATAAAGAATCGAGAGGATAGAAAGAGAAAAATGTCAAATCATAACTTTTCAAATTTCATAAGTCTTCAATATAATATAAGTGAATAAAAATCAAATGGATGGAAAAACCGAAAATAGAAACTGAACAGAAAAAAAAATATTGAATTTTGTTGCCTTATTTTTTTTCCTTTTAATTTTCTACTCAAATGAGCAATGAATTTCATTTTTATTATTATTAGTTTTTTTTATGGAGATGGACTTTATCTGGTGCTGCTGGCTGTTTTCTTTTCTTTCTGTCTTCTTGTAAATTTTTAAAGGAATTAGAAGCACACATAAAAAAAGTGAGAGATAAGAAGACTTTTTTGGTTTCGAATCTGTTTGTATTTCCAACCACTGAGCACAGCCCCTCTCAGAAGTCAAATTGTCATTTATTTTCGCTTTAATTTCACTCAATCATTTTTTATATTCTCAATAATTTCTGGATAATATGAAAAGGAAATTATGTGAAGTGACACCGAACAGGTTTTGCCAGATGCCCTTTATTAAGAATCTTTTTTTTTTTTTGGGGAGCCAGAAAGTGCAAATGATCCGTGAAAAATTGCCACACACAAAGTGCACATGGAAAGTTAAAAAAAAAGCGGAGCAAACAAATCTTTATTATATTTTGGCACATTCAAGGCATTTTCACGCTTCATATTCCTTTACATTGAATAGGCATTAAATAAATTTGAATTTATTGAAACAGCATAGTGCGAAGTGTGACTATATAATTTTTAGAATTCGACCTCATCGTTATTTACGACTTCTTTGTCTATATCCTTCTTTATTACAACTTAATTAAACTTATAAGGAATCTTATTCCTTTATGCCATAGCAGCAACACTATAAATATTATTTATGATATTAATAAATTTTCCTCGAGAAAATATTTTCTCTGACTGTGTGTATTTCTGATACAATAAATATATATGCCTGGTGGCTGGTGGTGTGGGGAAAGACTTATAAGACAGTAAAATGAACATTTTCTTAACAAGTTGAACTGTTTATGTCGAGTAAGAGAAAAAGAAAGAAGTAAGACTATTGCGTTTATTAGTATTTGAATTATAAATGTTACGAGACTTAGTATAGAACACCTAGATAAGTCATAGTAGCTTCATCATTGTCAAAGTAGCTTGTCATGGTGTGTAGGAATATTATAATTCTAGAATTTATTAGATATTGCTTAATTCAAAGCATTTTAGGGATTCTAGAGCTTCTAGACCGCAAATGAAAAATGGCAAACTTAGTTCCGTTTCTGATTCCCGATCTTGTCCGCAGTTAGGTCTCTAAGCTTATAAGCACCTTTCCAAATATACCTAGCAGACAACTCTATCAAAAAAAAACTACAAAATCCATTTTATTTCATTATTATTCCCAAAAATAAACTAGCTTTTAATATTAACATTATTTTGACTATTGTTATTTGAACAAGATATATTTATGTATGTATTGTGCAAAATTCGTTTTACTTTTTCCTTTTATGCTCAACCCCTTTTTCCACTTTCTTACAATTCAATTCCAACATTTTTTTTATGAAATTTCATAAATTTATTTCTTCGAGGCGTTTCAACAAAATATAAGAAAATTCTTTTCATCATCCATATCCATAATATAGACATTACTTTATAAATTGATATATTCAAAGGGTCAGTTCGGAAGCAATAATTCAAAATTTATATTACGGAAAAGAAGTTAAATTGGAATGTAATTTTTTTCGATAACATTTTTGTTTGTAATGGGAAAAATTATATTTTTTTTATAGAATTTTCATATTTTTTTTTGTTCTTCCTTTTGTAATGTGGAATTTACTGATTGTTATGGTTAGATTAAAAAATATTCTTTTGCGTTTGATAAAAAATATTATGTGAAATATAAAGGGAGTAATTTATGAAAGATTATTGATTTATTGGAATTCTTTGTTTCAATGAACATGCTGAATTTTATTGGAAGAAACTGTTTTGGGTAGAAAATGTTAAATTTTTGGGTGTCTTCTGTTTAAACAATTAACGAAAATATTAATTTGATTAAATCAAAAAACAACAGTTTAGTTTTGCATTTAAATTCATGTTGTTCTGAAAATTTAAAAAAGTTTTGAATTTTCCCACTAAAATTAAAGTTAAATTCTCATCCTAACTACACCCCAGCCTTCAGTACTCATAATAAATTTTTCAATACTTAATTCCTCAAAAAAAAAATTCTCTCACAACTCTCCAATCCCCACGATTATTAATTAAAGAAATCAGCAATAATCGAATTGAATTAATTTTTTGAATTCCAACTGTTTACAGATCAAAATTAAAATTTAATTCCAATGCTTAATGATATTTCGAGATATTCAATTAATATTTTAATACATTTAGCAAACAAATCATTTCTACTTCTTAAGTTTTAATCTCATTTTTTCAATTAATCAATTTAAGGAGATTAATAAAGTTTACATTTCATAGCGCCAGTCTTGAATGAATTAAAATCAGTTCAAGGTGAAATTTTTTGTGTTAAAATTGGAGTGTTTTTCAGAGTTTTTGTAATTTTAAACAGTTTCACTTTTGAGTTTAAATTTGAAATTATTTAAAATTGATTTTTTAATTTTTTTTGAGCAAGTGTTTTTTCATTTTAAATAAATTTAAATGCAGTTTAATTTTAAAGATTTTAAAAATTAATTTTTAAAATATTTCAAAATTTAAAGGTTTTTTTAAAAATCTCAAAATTTGAATTTATAGTTTCAGTTTTAAACTTTATTTTTTCAAAACAAATTTTACAAAACAAATTTTTTTATTTGTAAATTCTTTATTAAAATCATAATTGAGCAACAGAGTATTTTTTTCATCAGATGCGCAAGAAATTCAAAAGAGATTTTAAACATACCTCAAACAGCTTTACGACCATAATTAAAAAAAAAAAATTACCGGCTCATAAAATTATTAATCGTGAAATAATTGAAACAAAACGGAAAGCTACACAATATATTTTTTTTATCTAAAATAATCGATTGAAATTAAGTAAGAAGATCTCATTAACCGTTAATTAATTCACATACACGAAATAAAAAAAAATAAGTAAGCAACAATTTAATTAAAGAACAAACATCACACAATGTGTATAAAGAGCAGAAATAATTTTTTATAAACACAAATTCAAAGAGCAACCACAATAAAGAAGGTTTCCAACTGCAATAAATCTTAATCTCATTTCAAGACAGTTGTAGACGCCACAAAACAGTGAAAGAAGAAGTAAAAATTAAATAAAAATTGTGTCATTTCCGAGCTCAATTATTTGCTCGTACATCTTCCCGAAAAAATAAAAGATAAAGCAAGAGAAGATAAATGTGCGACCGTAAAGTGTGAGGCAAAGAGCTTTGTGAGAAATGTAATTGAAAATCAAATAAAATTACAGGAACCGGCACAATAACATGTGTGTGTGACGACTTTTGTTTGCTAAAAGATAAAATTCATGAAGCGTAAGATGATGAGTAAGGAAGTAATAAGGTTTGGATTTCTTTAGCGATTTACTTTTGTGATGAGAACTTTAAATGAGGACTAAGATTTCAGGGCGTTTTATAAATTTTATTCAATTTAGGCGCTAGTTGCATCTGGGTGACTTTGTATCCATTCAAATTCATCAAGTTGCTGCCGCTTGGTTTTAAATTTACTGCCTAGATTCAAATGAAACCTTGATGCAGTGTAGCTAAGGCTGTTTAATAGATCCGCGTGTCGAATTGAATTCGGATTGAACAATTCTGAATTTTCAACATGCACCGACTGATTGAAGGTCTATACTTGTATACTTGAGCCATAACAGAGATCATCTGAGTGTCTCGAACCAGATGAAAAATTCCAGTCAGTCTTTTAATATTTTTCTAATCCAGGGATTGGTTTTAAGGACTTCTTATGACAAAGCTAACCAGAATCATGAATCAATGAGGTTAGGTGCCATGAATAGTCCCAGAAAACAGCAAAGACAATCAGTCAGATAACAAAACACTTACTTCCGCATATCTTCATAATTGCAAAATATATTCATAAAATTCAAAACTCAAAAGAAAAACACAAAAAAAAATGTTAATTTCAAATCATGAGCAGCAAACCATCCCAAAGTGATTGAACAAACAGATTTCCTTTTCAGATCAAAGAACTGCGTTCGAAAAAAATAAAAGAGAATTTATATCCATTTGTTGAAATGCATTGTTAATCTCTCCACAGACACAATAAAAATATTTTAGCTCATGGTGAATGGAAACGCTGTGGGAGACTTTTTTTCATTTTCCGAATGTAATGTAACGTAATGCATGTAATCCTCACCCAACCAGCAGAAAAAAAAGAATAAAAAGATTTTCATTCATCGTAGAGGAGAGATAGACTTAAGGTATGCATGCATGCTACACGGTATCAATAAGTGAGAGAAACAGCCATAAAAACTACAAGAAGATAAATACGCACTATGTGAATGCAAACACAGGAAAAGGCAATTACATATTTACTAAACGTTGCTACCAGATTTAATTTAGTTTTATTTCCCTACTTCTTCTTAAATTGTATCTTCTTAATTTTTTCGTCTTCCCATAAAGAAGATTTCAT